GCTATGTTTTTATGTGGAGTTTGGTACTAGTCTCTTAGCAAGTGGCAAAAGCAGATGTTGTGGAACATACCTGAATAAGTATAGCAGTGAATTATTAAAACTGTGACTATTACCGGAACTATTTTTTCTTTAAATTACTGTACTCACAAGTTCTTGGAAGCATTCTTGGTGTGGTCCATGTGAGAAAAAAACAAGTCATTTATTTTTAAGACAACTAAAAATTCTCACTAGAAATTTCTGTACAGTAAATCAAGATTCAATCCTTTCAGTCAACAACATCCCAAATGGTAATATATTCTTCCAGCTTGTTTATTCCTATACATCCATCTTCTGAAAAATACAACTTCTGCTACTTTAGTTACATCATCACAGGCCACCTTTATTTTCTTTGACTCCTCTAATTATGGGAAGCCTGAGAAAGCCTACCTTCCCATTCCTCACCCTCTTCATTGTACATCAGAAGGTGGTATTCTTGTCTGCCGCAGTTCAGACAATGTCAAAGTGGAGAGGGGAAAAAAAAAAAGGAGAAAAAGAAAAACAATAACTAGGGTTGTCTGCCTGCCCATCCTTCCACTGTGTGAACAGGGAGGGTTTGAGGGAATATTTTTCATGGGATAGGGTTGCACCACGACTTAAAAAATTAAAATATATTGTTTAGATACCTCAATAAATGGAATGATTTTGGGGAGGGAGACTTTTAGAAGCGCTTCTCAGTTATGCAGTACAAAGAACTGGTAACAAAGAAATTAATCTTTTTTTTTTTTAAGTAGAGATACAAATGCAAACAGGGCTTTGGCTACTAATACTCAGATTCATAAGCACAGTTTTAGATTCCTGCATTTAAAAGATTGGCCAATAAACCTGGGCATATTTTTTAGTGCTGTGAATTTCTCATTAATTGAGTTTCTGTAGTGTCAGTTTGTAAGGAAGACTTCTCTATTTAATGTCTGTGGCTGTTCATCTTGGGAAGAGAGATGCACTCCTTGAGTAGAAAAATGGTGCCTATTTTCCAAAATTCTTAATTAAATGAAAAATAGTTTTACTGTTATTTTACTATTTGATTATAATTAAGGTTTTTGGGGGGAGTTGCGTCTGCGACTCAATATGATTGCATCTTTTCACTGCTGAGAAATTTTTTAACTGTTTTAAAGTGTGTGTCTAAAATGGTAGTTATACATTAAGGCATAAGGTAACTTCAAAGACAGCTTTAAGAAAGAAATACAGATTTAAATTTTCTTTATCTTTGTCACAAAGTTTATTTGTTGATTCTGAAGGAATTAAATTGATAAATGCAGGGCTCAGGTAGCACCCTGTGACATTTTAACCTGGGTTCAAAGCTTCTCTTGTGGTTTAGCTCACTCAGAGAAGCTTTGATGTTCTTACATTCATTCACCCCTCATTTGCTATTGTCTTAAGTATTTACCTTCTGGAGTTTATTTAGGAAAGGTATTCTAGGATGTAGCAGCATATCTTAAAGCAGAACTGTGGTAGGATAGAGATGCTTACAGAGATGTTAATCACCTGTGATCTGTCATGTACTTACATATAAATTACAAGGTCAATACTAAACATACATGATTCTGGATTATTAAATGTGAGGAAGAAACTATATGCTTCCTTGAAAGATATCTCTGTCATTTTCTTTTTGAAATGGTTTTCAAATTTGAGTATTGATTTTAATTTTTTTAACTCCAACATTTGAATTAGAAAAAATCCTTGAAAGTAATTTGAAAAATAAACTTTTCAGCATATAGTTACTTTTTGTAGCCCTTGTAATCTTCAATATTAATTTTTCACAGCTTTGTGTGAGCAAAGTAATATGTATGTGCAGAAGATTTGGTCTGTCCTGTTCACTGGAAATATTAAATAGTTCATGAGGCATTTGCTATCAAAACTGACTGGAACACCTGCCTTCTCTTCATTGCAAGGCTGATCTATGGGACTAATATAATTTATGCATGAGGTTGAAAATTAAACTAGGAAGAAGTAGCATAATCAGAGTGTGCAATATGAAATCAGAATTGAGCAGTTAAAATGTTTTCTCAAGGGGAGAACCGCTGAGAGATTATTTGTTTGCATAATTCTTGAGTACCAGATTTTTTTCTTCTATTTTATTTTAGAAATTATTTTTTTTTCAATTCATAAATGAATAAAGCTTATTATGAAAATGAAATGGTAAAATAAGGATTTAAGTATAGAATGAAGAAAAATTAGTAAGATGGTTTTAAAGTCAAAGATAAATATTAACATAATGTTTCATTTAAGTTCAGAAAACTTAAGGATAGAAGGAACTTCAGGGGCTTACTAGTCTGCCCCATCACAGATTGCTCAGACAGACTATGGAGTCTCCAACCTGGACAACTGGCTCTAAGTAGCTCTGCTTGAGCAGGAGCTTCACCAAAGAGGATGAAAGAAACTTATCCAACACCAATCTGATGCAAATAAGCAGACATTTCTTCATTCAGCATGCTGAGAACACAGGGGATCACTCCTCCAAAAGTGTTCTCTTACTGAAAAAATCCATTCATTTTTACACTTTTCTGTTACATAAGCCCAGTCTTGCATTTATCCTCTACAATGATTTGTTTTGTTAGTTTTATAACTTTATTCTAAAACAACCATTGGTCAATTTTACTTAGCTCTACTGATTGGAATCTTTGATACTCAAATCAAGATGGGAAGGGTAAGGGGGTTTCCAAGCAGCACAAATGGTCCAATATCTTCTTGGTGAAGTTTCCGTAGTTGCATACTTCAAACACAACACTCCTAACAATCCTATACACCATGCTTCACAATTTCCTTCCTTTTAATCCCAACTATTTCTTCTATACGATCAAATCTCGATTATTTTGTCAGACTAATTACAATATTTCCCCCCTTTGAAAGTTTTGAAAATAATTTCAATACTTTCATTATAATCCTAAAATTTGCTTATGTTACATCTATACTCTATTTCATTCATTATAGTTTGTGGGAGTCTTGGAATTGATTCCTTTTCATCTTGTTGTCTACCCGCTGCTTGGATAATCATCCAATTAAATGCAGTCTTACTGTTTATTTGTTTCTTTAAACAATAGTAAATCAAAATAATTGTTAAAAATATTATTAACAAGATTAATGCAGTATTAATCAGTGATTTTGCCCATGAACTCAGATTTCATCCCAGTCCACTAAAGATTTTATCTATCCAACTTTCTTGCATATCTTATCAAAGCTTGTATTTTTTCTATATTTTCTAACAAGTCCAAGCCATGTTCTACATCTTGTGTCACATTTGTAACGTGTATGCAACAATGATCAATTCTATCTTTCAAATATCTACAAACCCCATGTTCTTTGAGTAAGATCATATCTAAAACCATTTTATTTTGTAAAAGCATGTTTGAAGTTGCTTGTAACTGCTAATTTACATCCTTGAATCCCTCCCTGGTTACATTTGCCAGCCTTTCTAGCTATCCTGTAAGTCGACATATCCATTCTCTAATCCTATATGTTGCTAAAGGGGTCAAGGAAGACTCCAAGGTCCAGCCAATTTTCACTCTCGTCAAACATTCATGCCATTCTTCATCTATTTCTTACCTTTTTACCTATTCCAATTTCAAATTTTCTAATGCTCCTTTAAAAGGATCTTTCTTCCAGATTGGACATAACATTGGCATGCTTCATGTTATTTACTTCACTTTACCATCTAACAGTAAATGAATTGTCCAAGTCCCATCACTCCTTGCCCAAACTAAGTGTCCCGGGCTCCTAACTGTACATCTTCTGCAACTACACATGGTTCCTCTTTTGGGTGTATATGTCTCAGTCAGTTGGAGGCTATTTTTAAGACCTCTGCAGAGACACTCCTACTTTAAAGCAGCAGATAAAGGGGGAATAGCCTGAATTATCATATCGGCAGTACTACAATTGCATATATTTTCATATTTCCACCATGATATTAGATTTTCCTCTTCTTGGTATGAGGTTTCCTTATCACCCAAAACTGATCAGGTATTAAAAACTAATCCATCCCAAGTAAAACACCAAGAAGCCTTAGACATGTACTGAATTTGAGATAAGACTGTCATTGACCAAATGGAGTCCAAATTTTTCTCCTTCCCCTGTGTTTGATTAGTTTTATCACATTTCCATTCCATGATCATTTGGCTTACATTTCTCTTTATTTGTTCATCGTAAGAACATCATCTTATGTTCCAAGATCTTCCACTTTTGGCAAAAACAGAATTTGATAATTTCTCACAATCAGCTGTACACCCTGGAGACTTCCATTGTTTCCTAATATTCTCTATTTGTTTCTTTCATCCAATTACAGGTTTCTGTTCACAACACGTGGTTTTATTTTCATTTTCTAGAATAGTCGAAGTCATGGTTAAGATTCCCCATGGAATGGACTCACCTACTGCTGTTAGTATTGGTAGGCAAGCAGTAATTTGTGACATGTTCTGCAAATTGCCAAAGTCTTTGATTAATCCTAACATCAAATTTTCTTCTTGGGTTTTTCCTGTGAGGTGCATTTATTGCTCTGTCTCTGTTTGTCTTTTAATCCTTTCTTTCTTGGTCCGTGTTGGGACAACTTTTTCTGAATGACAGAACTGGCAAATAAAATTTCCTTGCTCTTTTTCTAATTCCAAACAGCATCCTTGCTTTGAAGTTCAGAATTCTTTACAAATCAATTCTTGTGTTGGACTTTGTAACACTAAGTCATATTTTGGGCGTTTTTGTTCCTTATTTTCAAGTGGAAGACAACAAAAGTCATCTCTACTCAACAAACAACAGCATTGACCTGCATTCTTCAAGGTAATACAACGTACTTCTGTGTCATTTACCTCTGACTCTCATTTTAGGTGGAATTATTTTCTATCCCTTTCCTAGTTCACTTGCAGTTTATCAGGATTAAAGTCTTGAATCTGTGTAAAATCACATGTCAGCTTCAGTGGATCTCCCCATCTTATTGATATTTCTAGTTGTTCAGTTTTTGCCTCAACCCAGGCTCCCACTAACATTAATTTCCAAATCAATATCCATTCTCCCCAGACTTCAAGGTGATACGTAAGATTAAACAGCATATCTAAAAGTCAGTTTTGAAGTCTTAGGATCCCTATTAACAATCTTCCAAGTTGGTGAGGCTTTCTTCACTCTAATATAATGTATCCACACTTCTGATTCAGCTATCTTAATGGCAGTAAAAGTAGTTAACAATCAGTTAACAGGAGTTAACAGTACTTGAAAAGCTCCTTTCCAATGTTCCTGAAGAGGTTCAGAAATCCATGTCTTCTCATAATCTTCTGGTTGGAAGTCATGAACCGGATTTTCCAAAGTTAGCGGTCGATTCCACACTGGGAAGCTTCTCAAAGCTGTCAAGGTTTTTCCTAAAGAAAGCAAATACTGATATAAATCACATTTCCCTTTTACATGCATTCCCACAGTAGGATTTGTAGATTTGTATGGTTTCCTATACAATATTTCATAAGGACTAACACTAGTCCTTGTCTTTCACTGTACCCTTATTCTTAAAAGGGTGAGAGTCAACGCCTGTGGCCATTTAAGATTGGTCTCTTGACATATTTTACTAATTTTCTTTTTTATATTCTGATTCATCCTTTCTACTTTTTCACTTGATTGTGGTCTCCATAGAGTATGTAAGTCCCACTGAATTCCCAATGCTTTGCTTACATCTTGAACTATTTCTGCCACAAAGTGTGATCCTCTATCTGAAGATATCCCTACTGGGACCCCAAATCTTGGAATTATTTCTTCTAATAACCTCCTTACCACTTCTCTCACTTGATTGGTGCAAAATGGGAAGGCTTCAGGCCACCCATAAAAAGAGTCAGCTAATATCAATATCCTCCTGATCTAGGTAACTCCAAAAAGTCAGTTTGCCAATTGTCTCCTGGTTCAACTCCTGATTTCAAACTTCCTAATGGTGGTCTTTTTCAATTAATTGGATTATTTTTCAAAGTAGTTTCACATGTCATGGTTATAGATTTGATAATTCCAAGCATTTTACAGAGACCACAGTTCATTTTCTTAATGCTGTCAATGCCTCTGCTCCCCAGTGACATTCCTTAGGTTTTATTTGAGCCAATTCTCTCATAACTATAAGTGGGACCACCACCTGTCCTTGTATATTCACTAGCCATTCTGCCAAATTTTTCCTCGCATTCATTAACTGTCCCAAGTTTTCATCTTCTTCTGAATATTTAGGTTGTTCCCTAGGTAATTTTACCTCTTTTGTAGGTATTAATGCCATTTGCATTGAAGTTTTTGCCACAGTCTTTCCTATCCTATCCTATCCGCTACTCTATTTCCTACAGCTTCCTTAGCAGTTCCTGTTTGGTGTTCTTTACAGTGCATGATTACCACAGCCTTAGGTTGTTTCAAGAGCTCTGATATTTCTTCCTTATACTTAATTGATGATCCTTGAACTGATAAAAGTCTCCTTTCTTTCCACATAATTCCATGTGCATGGATTACTTCAAATGCGTGTATTGAGTCAGTCCATATATTGACCGATTATTCTTTTCTTAATTCCAAAGCTCATATTAGCACTATTATTTCTGCTTTTTGAGCTGATGTGTTTCTGGCTAATGGTTTAGCTTCTATAATTAGGGTTTCAGTAGTTACCTTATATCCAGTGAAGCATGCTTCATGTTCTACGTAGCTACCACCATCCGTAAATAATTCCAAATCAGGATGAGATAAAGGAGCGTCCTTTAAATCTAGTGTACTGGAATAAACATAATCAGTTGTCACCAGGCAATTGTGTTCCACCAGGCCCTCTGCCTGTAGAGTATTCAAAAACACTGCAGATTTAAAAACTACTACAACGTTAGTAGTTTTTAAAACATCATCTTGTTCCAACAATACAACTTGATATTTTGGTGTTGTGCTGGGAGACAACTGATGGCCCCCCCTAAAACTTGAATATATGAGGTACATATACAGTCATTTTAGGTCCCAAAGTTAACTTAAATGCCTCTTGAATCAATGTCACTGTTGCAGCCACTGCCCGTAAACAACTAGGCCATCCTTCACTTATAGTGCCCAATTGTTTGGAAAAGTATCCCACAGGTCTTTTCCAGTTTCCAAGGTATTGCATCATATTGCATCAGTACCCCCGATGCAATATGTTGTATCTTGTGTACAAAGAGCTAGGATTTCTTGGTTAAATCTGGCAATCCTAAAGCTGGTGGTGTCATCAAAGCCTGGTTTCGGTCTAGGTAGGCTCTTCTCCACAAAAAAGGTAGTCTTTTCAGGGTTTCACACAGTGGTTTAGCTAGAATTCCATAGTTCATAATCCAAAGTCTACACCATCCAGTTGTTCCTAAAAAGGCCTGCAATTTTCTGATGTCTTTTGGCTCAGCAATTTTACAAATTGCCTCTTTATGGCTCATCTCCAGTTGTCTCTGCCCGTGGGATATCTCAAAGCCCAGATATACAACAGTCTGTTTCACAGTTTGAGCTTTATTTCTTGAAACCTTACAGCCATTCTGACCCAAAAAGTTTAAAAGTTTAATCATTACCCGTGTACAGCTACCTTCATTTCCTGTAGAAATGAGAATATCGTCCATGCATTATAATATCAAGTGATTACCATTGAGATTTATTTCCTTTTTCCATCCTTCTATTTCTTTCACCAGTCGGTTCCCAAATATCGTAGAACTATCTTTGAATCCTTGTGGCAGTCTAGTTCAAGTTAATTGGGTTTCCTGTCCTCTATAGGGATTTTCCCATTCAAAGGCAAAAAGGTTTCTGCTCTCTTTTTCTAGAGGTATAAAAAAAGAAGGCATCTTTCCAACCAAGCACTGTAAGCCAGCCATGTTTCTCATTTAAAGTTGTTAATAATGCATATGGATTGGCATATCTTCCAAGATATTCAATGGCATGAATATCTTTCACTATCAGATTTATGGCTTGTAAATTTATGGCTACAAAACTACATTCTCCTGATGGTTTCTCAACAGGGAAACCCGGGATATTGTACTCAGATTCATATTCTTCTAAAATTTTATATTTTGTAAATTTATCAATCAGTTTTCTAATTCCTTCACAAACTTCCTTCTTTATTGCTTTTTTTTTTTTTTTGGCCTAGCTGTTTCTTTTAATTCTATTTTAACTGGACTGGTTGCCTTTGATTTTCATGGAATGTTGGTACTCCACACTGTAGACATGACTGCATTGTCTACTACTTCCAATATTTCTGTTTCCTTAATGTGTTCCTGTAACATCATTAATTGATCCATCTTTGACTCTGGTACCTTTAATAAAATTTCTCCATTCTCAAAAACAATTTCTGCCTGTAATTTATTTAACAAATCCCTTCCCATTAGTGATATTGGATACTCTGGCATATAAAAAAGTTCATGTGTCTTTACTTTGCTATCAAATTTCATATTGAGTGATTCTAAAAAGGGACAACTTTCAGCCATCCCTGGAGGATTCAAAATTTCTGTGCAAATTATATATAAGGGAACCTTTATCACAAAAATGTAGTTGTTCCTTGGAGGGGGCATAGCTGTAGTTTAGTAATTCACAAGTGGAACTACCCAGAGCTTAAAAATGTAAAATAAAAAAACAAAAACAAAACAAAAAAAAAACCTACAACATTTTTTCTCAGGGGATTCTTCATACTTATCTTTAATAAAATATTTCAGGTCCTAAGATAAGCGCCTGAAATAAGGCAGTATGAAGTCACTGTGTAAACAAAACTATAAAGAGCCAGAAGAAATTATCTAATTGGAATTTTAGTCAGCAGTACTTAGACAGCAGTAGAGTAACTATAAAACATTAATTGACAATTCATTATTTGCTAGTTTTCTTTTCTTGTAATCAGAGATGTTGGTACTCCTTTAAAATCAGACTTCAGCTTGCCATTGTGCTTTTTGTAGCAAAAAACATAGGTTCACTTATATTGGCTGTGTAGTCGTATAAGAACTGATTTGTAGCAATAAGAACTGATTTGTATCCTATATATTGTATATATAGTGTATATGTATAATATATTGCCATTTTTGTTCCATATGTACTATTTGCCACTTGGCAGTTTTCTAGGATCAATATAGAAAAAAGGAATTAAGCTTAAAAGAAAGGAGAGCTAAACTGTAGTTCCAGAATAGCTCACAGAATGCACAGTAGCAGTGAAGGTTTGAGTTCCTCACTACTAAGTTTCTTTTGGGCTATTGATTTACCGTCTTCCCAGTTGACTGTGATTGACCTGGTATTGCCAATCCCTGACTAGACACCCTGCCAAAGACAAATATGCTAAGGAGTCCTAATGATGTTCTGATTCTCCCAGAGTTTTAAGAGAAATGTGGGAGAAAGGGATTCTAAGACCAGTCTCTTTAAGTTCAACATAGAACTGTGCTTATAACTCAAGAGGGGAAAGAGAGAGGCACGTGACCCATGGCCTTTTTCTGCTCTGTTGCGACTTTAGACAAGTTAGTTGGAACACTTGTTTGTCATTTGAGTTTCCAAAGGTCCAGAACAGTGTTAGCAATATTGACTTATCTTTGTAAAGCATTTGTTGTGTGAAAAAATAATATATAAATGTCCTCTGAAGTGAAATGATATTAAAAAAGCTGGGTTTGAAAAAAAAGTATGAATGCTTTCTTTCAGAATGTCCTCAATTACCAAGTAAGAGCAGTAGGCAGAGGTTTGATAAACATGACTTTTAATTGATCATCTAGTGTTTCAGTCATATAGGAACTCTCAAGGAGTGTTGTATCTCCTTAGTATCTTGCTTTAGTTCTTAATACAATGGCCATTTAAAATAATGTCCTTATGACATTATTTTGTGACAAAGTGGTGAAGCTGCAGCTGCTTCTGTAATCTTGGTCTGCTCAGTTGTAGACCCTTGAAAATAGTCTGAAACGGAATTTTCAGCTTTTTCCTTCCTCGACCTTTCTTCTGTTTAAACATGCAGTTATTTCATGGAACTGGAGTCTGGTGAGAGCTTCTCCTCTTAGATTTACCTAAAAAAAAACTGGTTAAACACTTGGGATTGAGAACTTTGGGTTTTTAATAGTTTGTTGTAGAATTTATAGAATTGATTTTGGATGGTCTTAATACTTTTGACCTCATATTCAACTTTCCTTCTAAGATTCAAGCTGGTTAGCCATTTTTTGATTACTTTTAACAGAACAGTGGATAATAATTGGTTCTTGGAAGAAAATTTTCCCTAGTGAATGTATTACACTTATAAAGCAACTTGGATAGATTTATTGATTCTGGCTGGAAATTCAAATTGTAACCTTGAACACTTTGTGATTTTCCCAGTGATATGTCCAAATTACTTCTGGTGCCAAGTATTATATTTAATTCACATTATTATTTAAATTCTTTCTGTAAAAATATATTTAATTAATTATTTACTAAGATATATCACTGATATTTGCAGAGCAGAAAAAGTAATTTTTTTCACAGTATCTGCTATCAAATTTTGTCATACAGATATGTCTTTCTACTCACCTCTTATTTCAGTATTGTAGTATAGATTCTGACCTACAACTATATAAATAATGACCTTAATGTATGGCTATTCTGTGCATGAAATCACATTAAATACATGTGAACCTATAAACACTTCTTGTGTGGGTAAAGATGAATAATAATCTATGCCTTATAAAAGCAGTCAATAATCAGCAGTCTGCATCCTTGTCTTTGCAATAAAGGGATTTTTTTAAAATGCTAATTAAGCACACATCTTGGACAGCTGTATACTTCAGTATTATGTTTGAAGTTTTTTAAACTGTGCCACTGCAGCTATCTAATCACTGACTGCTGCAGCCCTGCTAGTTTTTTGCTATAGTATTGTAAGAAAAAATATGTGTCGTGCACCTCTTATCATCAGTACGGTTTTAATCCAATAAATTCAACATATGAAAGTACACACGCAGAAAGCTGGGAAAGTATTTCTGCTAGGGCCGTGCAAGTAATCTTCTGCTTCTGTTTGAGACAGAATCTGAACATATATCACAATCCACTAGTTTTCAAATACAGGTTTTTTACATTTCCATTTTATTGAAAATCTCTAGCAAAGGACAAAGGCTTTCAGTAATTTTTCTCTTTGAATAGTAACACATCCTCACTAATCATTTCACACTGAGCCAGTGACGCAAAAGGCTCTAGTTTATAAACACATGCATAAAATCAGTAATCCTGCTACATAAAGTTCTGCAATTTAACTCTTTAGTGTAAAAAAATATGTATTGAACATTTTACCATTTTGTTTGTGCCGAACAGTAAGAGTTCTTTTGAGACATAAACCTTGTATGCACCTGTCAAAGGGATTCTCCAGATTCCATACTCATGCCTGTATGTAATTTAGTAACTGAATAACTTTATCTTATCTTCTTGTTTCTATTTCAGATTAATTTGGCACTTCTGTACAGTGAAGTTCTGGTAAGATAGTGTCTAGCCAGTGGCGTGTTAAGGTTCAGTATCAGTGACAGACCAGTGAGTCCCCATTAATATGGAACCCTTCCAAAGATAGGTGATAGAGCCCACCTTAGTTCTGTAGTCCACCTTTAAATAAAAATCAGTTGATTGTATTTCAGGATGTTTCTGAAGCTACAGGCTGCAAATAAAATACAAAGAATTAGTTTGAAATAATTGGTACAGCTATTAATTATCAACTTATGCACAACTGTTACTTACTAAGGTCAAATATTTGTTGCTCAGATTTTGCTATTGAATTAGTCTGACAAGTGGCAGAAAATGTGTGGCTGCATGGTTGCAAACCTGAAGGGGAAATTTTAAAATGATTGCACTGATGGATTTGCTTTCTATGGAAAGGAAATAATCAGTGGGACTTGATTTTTACTTATCAGTACTTCAGTCTGTGCTGTGGCATCTACTGACTGCTGGCTAGCAGTATCTGTGAAAAGTGCTGAGGAAATGTATCAACCAGTAATTAAGAAACAAACATGAAGAACAAAGACACTAGAAGCAAAAGTAGCAACTTGATAATATTTCATGATACTGAAGGAAAAAAAGGACATATCAGGAGGTACAAAAGTGTAGGTAATCTTCTAGTGCCAGAAGCACATGCTTGCTGATGTAACTACATCTCCACTAGCAAGGTTTTCCTGTTTAGATAGGCAGCAGGGAAGTTTTGCTACTAAAAGGATCTTGTGTTTACCTGGCTAAGATTAAAGAAAAAAACACAACCAAAAAACAGACCAAACAAGAAAACAGCAAAACAAAACAAAAAAAACAAAGCACAAAAAAAACCCACAAAAACAAAACAAAAAACCCAACCCAACCAACCAAAAACCCAACAAAAACACCCACTTTTGCATCTCTGTCAGGTTCTGAAAACTGCCAAGGGACCTCTGTATCATGCCCTGTTCCAAGCATTTTGTGTGCACACAGTCTGGTCTTGGAAGGAGCTGGAGGTCCTTCCTGAACAGGACATGTTCCAGTGTTAGCTATGATCTCAGACTTAATTCTGTGCTTAGTTGAAATGCAAATTATATTGCTAAAGTTTTTCAATTGGACCTTAAAGAATGTATGAGAGTTACTAATACATTAGAAGAATGCTTCTTCCCCTTGAGGTAAGGTAAAGTAAGAAGTGTCTTCCTTTCAAATAAAATTATTTTTCTATTGAAAAGGTGAGAGTTTTACATGCAACAACTTAGCTTAAAGTATTCAATAGCAATATATAAGAAATACAGTCTAACAAGCAGTAATAAGAAGGCCACCTAGGACAGTATAAAATGTTTACATCTGTCAGAGACATGCTGTAGGCATATGACTGGTTTCCCTCAGAAATGTTCTGTTTGAAAGGCAAATACATCAAATTCTTCAGTAAAGAACCTTTTGTGCTTCAGAAAGTATTAATCAATCAGCTACAAAAATCCTTTACACTGTCCTTTCTTGTTCACCGTATGTTCATGTGGTTCCTTTAGCTGGCAGCTACTCCTCCCGGCAGCTGTAGAGTTTTTAGCACGGTAGTTCAGAGGTCCCAGCAAAGGTAGTAAGGGAAAATGGGCTCCCTCTGGTGAGTGGTTGTCAACTGAACAACCTAGCTGTCTTGGGTTGTCTTAGTTCAGATTTTATCTTCAAATGGACTGTCACAGTACTTAAGCACCTGCATGTACTGGCATATAACGTGTTCCTAGCAACTTTCAACACTCATCATCTTTATTTCCTAAAGTAGCATAGGGCTTGCCATTTTTCACCAGCTGGGAGGGAAGGTTAAGAGGCTGCTGGAAACAGATGCCTATGGAAATATAGATATTACAATTGAGTCAAATAATTTTGGTGTGCTTCAGTTCCAACACTGGTCTTTGTATATGGCCAGTGTAGTTGGTTAATATTTCTCAGACATTTCTCAGTTTATCCTATACTGAGCAACTTGTTACCTTTACTTTTCGTAGGATGCTGGTCTGAATCAAAGAAGCATTAATATGCTGTCCTTTTATAGCAAGGGTATTTATACACATGTAAGACCAGAAATTAAAGCTCTTTAGGAAGCCACCCTGCTTTATTAATTCAAACCTCTCCAGGTTTAATGGTAGAGGTCTGTCAACACTGTACATCTAGGTACTACATTACCATCTCCTAAAGAAGATTTGACTGAATTTTTAAAAGCTGAAAAGGTCATTAAATTTCTCATTTAAACAAGGTTTCTAAATTGAATGTTCATGTAACGTTTACATCTAGAACAGGCATCGCATCTTAATGGAACTGGTAAACTGGAGATAGCTGGGTAGAAATTGTTTCAAATCTTGCAGGTTGTTTGCTGTGGGTGTGAGGATCTCTAGTCCTTGATCTGGCTACAGAGTAAGTTTATTGAAATTCTTGGGTCTTCCTTTTTAAGTTTTCAGTTCTGTGTGATAACCTCTCTCTCATCCTTTCAGTAAATACCCTTCAAAGGGGGTTGTGAAGATAAAAAGGTGATGTTAAGGGGACAGAGCAGGAGGAAATGGGACTTTCAGCCTTGGGATTTTCCTCAAACAGAAACAGGCCATGCAAATGAAATAGGTGTGCTGAACTGCAGCTAGATAATTCTAAACATATCTCAAGCCCAGGTAATAATGACTGAATTAAAAACCCCATCAAGTGGCATTGTTCAGCTTAGCTTGGAGGTTTGTGAAGCTCAGTTGTCTTTTTTATGTTGTTACTAGCTGTGCCAGGTCTGATCCAATGAGGGGCTGTTTCCTTCTCTTTCATGGCTCAGTGGTAGTCAAAGATGTTCAGAACATTGAATATTAATGGATTCTAGGCAGAGAAACTGTAGAGTTCATTGTGCTCAGTAGAGCAAGCAGACAGATGTATGTCAATGAAAGTCTTGTGAGTGTGGTTAATAGTGTCAGAAACATGATCAGACTGACTGCTTTGGATTTGGAAGGTGTACAGATGTCTTTTTGTTGTAATCTACAGCTTTAAATAATATTTAAATGGGACATAATCGGAATTTTATTAATAATACTAAAATAATGTGAAAATAATTTATATGAAAATTAAAATTTATCTATTAAGACTACTCAAGGAAAATAAATATCATAAAACTGAACAGCTGTAGCTATCAAGAAATGAAACCAAATTAATTTCTCAAACCTTCTATATGATGAAAATCAAGAGCATTTCCACTGGGCGCTTTCTAAAATTGCAAGCTTAAACAATATGGTATTTGTCTTAGTTATAAAGAATGCCCTTTTTGGTCAGGTAATAGAACAGGTATTTTTAAACAACGTTACCGTGGCTTCTAATTTCAGGGATTATGAATTTATTTTAAAATAAATGTATCATATTGTCCATCTTGGAAAAAGGTTTTATTCATCTTTAATGTTGCTGAGAGTTTAAATCCATTCTTAATTTCTCTCTGATCTTACCTGTTCATCACTGATGATTCATCAGAATTGCAGGTGTCAAGCTGTTGACATTTGGATTTAGCCATTTAGTAATTTTATTAGTACTATTAACACGCTTCTGCTAAATGGCTAGCATAGGATTATTTCCATATGTTAAAACTTCAGATCATCTCTTCTGTGGCCACAAGGAACTGACATATTGAAAGTAACTGCCCAGTTCCAAGACCAGCTACTTTCTCATTTACATAATGTAAAAATTTTATTCTGGACGAGGATAAAGAACTTGATACTTTCATATTACTATGAAATATTGATACCTACTAAAATATATATATATATGTATATATATATATATATTACAAGACTGCAGTACATTATATATAGTAGCATAGCCTACCTTCTAAAGAATATCCATGACATTCATTCTTCTGGCCTTGTTAAGGATATTCTGGGAGCTGTGTGATGCCAATGAAGAAATTTATTTCACTTCAATGCAACTGGGATCAGCTTTTTAACTGTACAGCTACATGACTTGTCCTTCACTAAGCCATCACTCTAGCATCTAGCATATCAGAATAAATCTTACTGTAGTAAAAGTTAGCAGGAACTCTGCTGACATAAAACCAGTATAAATACAAACAGAGGCTAGGCCAAATTGTTTAGTTCTGTTCAGATCCCTGACCTTTTGGAGTGGCTCCAGTATTGTGTAAAATATTCTTTTTTTCTTTTTTATTTTTTTAATGACTTTTATGTGCTCACATATGAAAACTAACAGGATTTCTGTTATTGGAAATTCAAGTGTATGGTCCCAGCCATCACAGTGCTTCGTGGCCCTATGCAACTCATTCTCAAATCGAATGGCACCAAAACCAGAATGAAGCTGGAAATTCATGTAATTCAACTGCTGGGATTTTATTTTACAGAGGAAAATGCAACGGCTCTGTGATCTTAGTCTCATTAATTATCTTTATATTAAAAGAGTAAATAAATTTATAAATACGAATGTGTGATGAGCCTTGGGTCGTAACATTTTTAGCAGTTTGAGAAAAGTGCCATTTCTAGGTTTCTTCTGCAAGAATAATGTCATTTCAATATTATTTAAACTCAGAGCATTTGCCATTGACTTAATTAGAATTTGTTTGGGTCCACGTGTTGTCTGTCTGGAATAGGTATTACAAAGGTACCTAGCACCAGCGTCAGTTAAACATGCCATTTCCCATTGATTCCCATACATTTGATTTATGACTTCAAACAGGAGCAGGGAAGGCGTTACAGGCACCCTAAAGCCAACCCTAAGCATTCCCATTAGCGACAGAGTTAACTCCTTCCTAGGAGAAGGCACGGTGGAGGCTCTCCCCTCCACCGCGGGTCCTCCAGAACGTGTACCATCTGAATTCAGCATTACTGCAAACGTTCAATAACCTAATTGAAAAGCCATTTCCTTCAGATAAGGAAATTTTCTGACCATCAGTGCAGTGACAGGGCATGGTACATGTCACTATGTAGTTGAAGGAACGAGAGATGGCAAGCTGCGTATATATATATGTAAGGAATGCATTTCCTAGCATCGAGAATAAAGGATGAGGAAAATGGAAAGGTCGTCCAGGGCTCTCTCTCCTTCCGTGAGCTCGCCAGACCCAGGGCTGAGCCTGGCCAAAGGCACTCACCGCAGTTTCTGCACTGGCCCCGGGGCGGGTTGGCTGC